TTAAAGCGCACGTTCAGGGAAGGGCCGCGTACTCGTCCCAACGTGTACACCCTGACGGACGTAGGAGATCGCGGCAACTGCCTCGTCCAAAGTGGTGACAGGCCATTCCCTCCAGTTACAAGTAAGGCGCCGCCCTTGCCCCTCTGCCAGGTTGTAGCTATGGCTGACTGGTATCCATCCGCGCCTCCCAAACGGGCGTCCGGGTTCGTACCCGGCCGCGGCAAAAATCTTTGCTTTTTTCCAAAAAAACGTCCCTGAACGTGCCCTTTAATCCCAAAGGATCTCAGCTACCACCCGGGGTCTTTACTATATAACTTACCGCGGCCGATACTCGAACCATTCCGTGATACAAACAGTACAAAATGAGTGCAAACAAGGTAGTAGGGTCTCGTTTGGCCGTTCCATACAAATGGCACAAGTTCCATCAGCAATGGCGCTAGATAACGATGATTTTTTCGGATTTTGAAGCCTACGTCTCTCCCAGGATCATGATGCTGTGCGTCATTAAATCCTCAGCAACTGGAGGTTCGGCTCCAATCGCGGGCTTCAGAAGCACTAGATACGATCGGTAGACGTTCCAAACCCGGTGAGGTTGAAAAGGCGATAGGATTTTACGTTGTTTGATTTTTCGTCCATCTAAAAGGGGATTTTTGGCTTTTCTTCTACAAATAACCAATAAAGATTATTTTAAGCACTCATTAAAATTACTGACCTTTAAACAACAAATTCTAACTGTAGATTTCCAATTTGGCGTATCCATCGTATCTTTTTTCAAAGCAAAAAATATGTATTCCCCATCTTTGACTTGATTTCGACATCTGAAACGTCATAGGATAGTTTTATACCTTTAAACTACATTACTTGTTTTATTAATATTAAACTAAGCTGCCTAAAAACCTACTTTCTATTCATCTCGCAAATATACCCAGCAAACTCCTCCCAACCAGTGTAATCGGTTGTGAGATCCCGTCCGGCTTCAGCAGCTCCTCGATCTTTTGGATAGTGTTCCCCATCTGGAATTTTGTAGCTGATTTATGTTTTAAAGCATTTAGAAAATGCATAAGATAACCTAGAAAAGCAAAAGTATGTCCGGGTCAAACACATGACTCTGCCCCGAGGATTTTGCAAGAGAATGGCAGAGAGGCTCGGTGGTGCCCTTTAGCATGCAACCGCCACAGCCGCATTTTCAGCGCGTAACCTATTGCCCGTTGGTGATGGTTATGAGGTTATACAAGTGACAAAAATTCTGGAAAAATTAAAAAACTGTTTTGACATGGAAGTTAAAGATGTTCTAGCGGAAAATCGATTTAGCACGGATTGATAATACTGAGTCAAATACGCATTTTTATATCCGACATCGACTTGTGAGAAGCCTGTGAGATTTGCCACGACACTGGCTGCATGTACAGTAGCGGTCAAAAAGATGTCCCCTCGGGAGATCGCTTGGTGCTCGTAAACCACAGGCTCAAATTTTATGAAACGTCGTGTCTAGGTCAATTCGGCTGCGCAGAATCCGATGGCAACATTGAAATCTACTGAAAATTTGATTTTATTGGTCAAACTTCGATTTCAAAAAATCTGTAAAATAAACTTTTTCATGAGAGATTTTCGGGTTTCAAAAATGTATCCATCGTGTTCGCAAGGGTCGAAAACCACTAGTCCGTTATTTTACGACACTTTTTCTGCCAGGACCTGACCATACTGACGGCCGAAAGTTGCTGTCGCGCGGGCCAAAATCCTTTGGATAGGCTTACGGGGGCCCGGAAAGCGCCCCGCGGCCACAACTTCTCGGCCTCATAGCAACGAACCTCGAAGAGATAAATGTTTTGAAACATGTTTGATATAGGTTTTCGACCCTTGCGAACACGATGGACACATTTTTGAAAACCAAAAATCCCTCAGGAAAAAGTTCATTTTACCGATTTCTTTAAAAATTAAAGTTTGATCACTAAAACCAAATTTTCAGCGGATTTCAAGTTCACCATCGGATTCTCCGTATCAAAATTGACCTAGACAGGACGTTTCATAAAATTTGGGCCTGTGGTTTACGAGCACCAAAGGATTTCCCGAGGGGACATCTTTTTGACCGCTACTGTAGGTTGATTTCTTTTTTTACTGGCATAACCGGTTGGTCTTGAGATCTATCAAATTATCTATCAAAAAGCTCGGTATTTTTATAGTTACAGAATAACTATGATAATTTAAATTCCAAATGCCGAAATCGAATAATATTCATCACGTAATCGGTTGTGTCAAGTTTTTTTACTGCATCGTTGATGTTTATTGTAAAACCCCCTACCTAGCGGTCCGCAGGCAATTCTGATTTTTACGATTTTTACGATTTTCTGGGCTCCGCGAGGCATAATGTGAAGAATTTCCTTATCCTTGCCGCTTGCATTCGCCAGTGTGGTCGAGGTGGGGGGATGGGCAGATGGGATCCAGCCGACAACGCCAATCGTGTCTGACTCTGCCCTGGGCGAGGCAGATATAAACATCTGCTAACAATGTTTTCCCGGCGAAGAATGACCCGGGTCAAATGATTGCACTAATGAGAAGCAAAGAACTTTTGGAATGATATTATAATATCAACTAAATTTATCTTAATTTTTATATTTAGTGCCGCTTCGGAAGGAGCAGTAGTGCCAAATAAAAGATTTCTAAAGTTCTTTTCATCAATTTGACTCTCGAGAAGGGAGCGTAAATGTGTTTAGCCTCGCTTTTTTCCAAAACGGTTGCCATAACTGATATACATTATTTTTGTTTACACATACATAAAACATATTTCAAATTTACTAGGATGCGCAAGCTGCGTGCTACATTGTCTTAACCTTAAAATGTCGAGCTTTTAACTTGCATGAATTATGATATTGGCAAAAACGATGGTAAAGATTTTATCGCAATATTAATTTTTTTCCGGTTTAACATATACCCTTTTTCGAATTTCTGGCAATAATACGAATTGGCGAATGTAATCCTAAAAACCCG